GCGACGGGGAGAGGCTAGAGATTGATCAGATCTCCGTAGCCTGCTTCAAATGCACTGGGTCCGTGAGGATCCGCAGCGCTTAGAGATCTTCACACAGCGTGAAGTCTCCTCCTCCTGGTGTTCGTGGAGTCCTCCAACTTGGGCGGAAACCACTCAAGCCTCTTATACGGCTAGCAAGCCAATCACTAGCCGCCACGTGTGAATAATTTAGAACTGGCCAATAATGGGACCCAAATCTACATACAAATGGCGGGAACTCTTTGCAACGAGCATTTCTGTGCTGTAACAAAGAAATGCACCCTGCAAAGAAAGCTCCAAATCGGCGGGAAATTCTCCCTTGCACCGGGATTCTCTTTTGCAGCAGAAAACTCCACCGTGCAAGGAAGCTTGCAATTTAGCGGGGACAATTTAGCAGTGCCGAAGCACACACAAATAAAAATCACACCTTTTGGGTTGTGACAAGCCCCACCACTGCTCTCAGTGGCTGGCCCTGCTGGTCTGAAAGAGGAGACTGCAATCAGGTGACTCTGTAGGTGAGTGCTGGCAACTTTCCCAGCAGCGGCCGCAGCTCTCCAGACGTGTGTGAGAGTGACTCAGGTGGAGCTGGCAGCAAGCGTTGGGGGAGGGGGGTGGATTGCTACTTGTCTCCTGATTGGTGTCACCACTGTCCCTGTCTTTGGGGAAACCTGCCCTGCATTGGGCCTGGGCCTGGGCATGGCCCCAGAGGGAAGAAAAGCCACTCGGCAGGTGCCCCCGGGACTGGTGCCCACTTCCAAATGCTCTGCATTCTCCCCATTGTTACGTCACGGAAATCAGAAAGCCGCCGCCATTCCTACACAAGTCACCCTCAAAGAGACAGCAGCTTGACAGCAAGGAGTCCCCACCTCCTCCTTGCCTGTCTAGGGTGCGGGTCTGGCCCCTCTTGCTCCCTCTGGGCCCTTAAAATACATGGGGGCAGGGCCGGAGGGGAAGGGTCCCAACCCCTGCTGGTGGCTGCGGGAAGCCAACATGGACTTTGCAGCAGGGACTGTACAGCACCAGGGCATTCCTCTCTGGATCAGGTCATGGAAACCTAGAGGAGTGGGACTGGGAGGGATCTCTAGAGCTCACATCTAGCCTAGCCCCTGCTTGAGGCAGGAGCATCCCTGTCCAGACTATCCTGTACACACCCATACTCTAAACTCTACATAAGACAACCTGCAGCCCTGACAAGGGGTGTTTGTAGACGAAATGGGGGCCCTAAATTGAAGCAGTGGGTTTTAAAAAACACTGCTTCAATTTAGGGCTGATTAAACCCCTGTGTCATACACCCCTGCCTCTTACCTGCCCCTTTGGCAGGGAGGGGAAGGCAAGCTGCCGGCAGGTGGAGTGGTCCCTGGGCTGGGCTGGGGAGAGCTGGTGCTTCCCTCTGCAGGAGCGGTGGCCCCCCCTAGGTGGCACCCACCTGCAGGCACCCGGCTCTGGTGGTCCTGGGGGCACTGCAGCCGCAGAGGGAAGCACCAGACTCCTGCGCAGCTCAGGCAGGCAGGCAGGCTCCGGGGGGATGGAGGATCAGACTTGTCACTTTTCTTGGCCGGAGCCTGCTTTCCCAGGATGCTGCCAGGCTGCCTGCAGGGCTTCCTGCAGAGCCCCTGATCTGCACAGAGCCTGGTGCTTCGCTCCACAGCTGTAGGGGAAACAAACTAAAACTCAAATTAAGGAGGAGTTTTAGTTTGCTGCGCCCCAAGTCATTTAAGGAGTATTACACCGCTGAATTTCCTACAGCACCTGGAATTAATGTGCAATGCACTGCTGAGGTGTGCAAACACTGACACCATTAAAGTGGTACAAAAGCATTTAGCCCTCTTTAAAGTGTCGTGCATACACGCCTCTCATTTCGTCTACACATGGCTCCCCCACCTCAGCTGCTCGAGTGGTGAGTGGGACAGGGAAAAGCCAGACAGTCCCTGGCTAGGGACCCTGCAGACCAGGCTGGGGGTTTAAACCCCTCCCCAATCATACTCAGCGGCTAGCCAGGGCCTGGCCAGGCTCCCCCTGCACCCCAGTCAGCTTCCTTGAAGTTTTGCACCTGCTGCAGAAAGGAAGGGAGGCTTCTAGCCTGAGCCTGAGCCACTGGAAGTACGTGCCTGCATTTCCAGAATCAAAAGTGAATGTCTATTCACTTGCTTCCCAGTTCAATCTACACAGGTTAGACTAACCTGCTAAGATTGAATTGATTCAGGCTTGGGCTTTTTGAATGTCTGTATTTGGCCTCAATGTCTGCATGTGTAAATGCAGATGCTTACTGTGCAGTAATTAGCTCTACTGTGCAGTAAAGTGTCTCATGTAGATGTGTCCCCTAGCTACAAATACTGTTGTGCTTAACCAAATTAGCCTGAAGGGCTGCTAGGTCTATAACCTTTGTGCTTGTCTGGGCTCTAAAGGAAATCTCCTCTTGTACTTCCCCATTCTTTATTTCAAGCAATCCCTGCAATATTCTCTTCAGAAATTTACCAAATATACACAGCTAGAGCTGGCTGATAATATTTCATTCCATTCAAACTGATCCTGGGCAGAAATTGCGGTACTGATTAAATGTATTGTTTTTGAAAAGCTTTTCATAGAGAACTTATGATATTTTTTCATCAAAAAATATATCAACCTGAAATTTTTGCCAGAAAAGGTCAAATTTTCAGGAGACGAAAACCTCATTTTCAGATGAGCTTACTGACAAAC